GCCCCTGGACTGAGCCAGGCTTCGCCGGGTCTCATCCGTAAAGTGGGAGGCAGCAACTCACCAGGAGGGATAAAGGAGCAACTATGGCACCCCGTCATTAGTGGGGTGATTGTCACCCTTATCCTCAGCCCAGCCGGGCCAGCACTAGCCAAGTGACCTTGGCCTCAGGCAAGCGCCCAAGCTGCCTTGGCTTCCCCAGCTGTAAAGCAGAACTGAGACTCCTCAGGTAAGGCTGGGCAGATTCGCGCACTCGGGCAAAGGGATGTCATAATCAATAGTTGCTGTGCGTTGAGCGATGCACACGTATTCACCCCCTTCTCCCCTCCACAGGCAGAGGCAGGGACAGACCCACCCAGTGAAGGAAAGCCTTTGCCTCAGGCTCCGCAGCTCCTTGACCCCAGGGAGCTGCAGAGGTCGCGGGTCAGAGTTCCGTGGTCACATAGAGTCTGGCCGCTGTCCCCGTGTCCGTTCTGCCTCATACCCGGGGACATTTTTGGGGCACCATTCCAGACTACACCCTAGCACTGCACACAAATCCGATCCCCCCTTTGATGAAGTGGCACCTGTTCCTTCTGCACCACCCGAAACAAAGCAGGTGCTCCCTTTAGAGGGAGCTCAACTTACACTCTGAATTTGAGGAATGTGCAGTTGAACTTTCCAATAGCTTCTGTCCTGGAGCGAGAGCCCTGAGCGGTGTGCTCAGCCAGTGGCTGCCAGGGTGTCCCTCACGGTAAATATTGACAGGAATACCTTCGCGGACACAAAGCCGTAGCCGGTCCCAGGATATTCACGAGCTGCAGATGGAGGCTGGGGCACTGAGAGTGACCTCTGGTTTCCCCAGGGAGACCGGACCCTGGAATGTGGGGACAGACAGATGGGCTCCCAGGCTGAATGCCAGGGATCCCCCGGTGGACAATGTCACCGCACACAGGACAGGGTGCGTGGCCCTTGGGCAGGGTCTGCGTGGTGCACACAGTGGCACGGTGGTCTAGGATTCTAACAAAGGAGCGGAGGAGAAGAGGCGTTGCCGCAGGAACGTCCGCTCCACTGGGGTCACTGGGGCGAGAACAGGGGTCAGCGCTCTGCAATCTCCTTCGGCTCTTTCCAAATATCGTTTTTTTAGGAGCAAACTTGTACAACTGGCCTAATCTAGTGTTCTGCCCCACCCCTGCACCCAGATCCCGCTTTATATAAACACATCTTTGAGCTGGCGAGTGAGTTACATTTTCAGAAGGCGAAGTGTGGCCAACAGTCCACGTCTCCCCGCAGTCGACGCCTGGGAAGTACCGTCGAGTGTCACCGTCTCCTAAAAGTCAAGGGCAGTTATGCGCCTTCTTGTTTGCTAAGCAGCAAAGGTGCCACCACCCAACACAAGGCTGCCCATGCCGGGGAGGAGAACTATCTTTCCCTCGCCCGTCTCAGGGCCGTGGCTGAGGCCCCGTGACGAAAGACAGATGAACACGAGCACAGCACACGTTTATTTAACGCAAGCTCCACATGACACGAGAGCCTTCACAAGGAAAGGAGACCCCGGGACCGGGTAAACCTGAGCATCTTCGTTTAGGTCCGACTGAGAGTGGACAGAGGGTCTGACGGTCATAAACTGGGGGGCTTGGCATGGCCTGTTTGCTCTTCCTTTCCTCCAGGTATAGGGCAGGCGCCGCTCACCTGAGGCTCTCATCACCGGCTTCAGGGGAGAAGGGGGAGGGAAAGGTGGCAGTGGCCTTCCTGATTCTGCTGTTTTCCCAAAGGCCAAAGTGCCATAGCATGGGATAGCATGTCCCGAACCCCATTCTGCGTTCTTGCCTTGGTCCCCAGGGCCAAGGCTGTGACTTGGTGGCCAGGTTGCTTTTCCCTCTTGCTTTCCTGAGCCTCAGCAAACATGAGTCACTCTTGACCACAGACAGCATCTTTCTGCTGTGACAAGAAACCTGAGGTGTGACTCCTGGGCTGGTTTCCACCGAATTCCTGGGAGACCTTCTCCCCACTCCCAGTTCTGCAGTCTGCCCCACCCCATTCTAGAATTCACTTCGTAGTTGTCTTTTCTAACAAATTCATCTAAAGGACATTTTATACCACTGCCTTGAAAGTAACTTCAGTACTGCCAGCAGCAAAGGAAGGTTGGGAAGAAACAAGGTACAGTGGAAACAAAAGGATTTTAGGAAACCCCGGGCTCTCTTGCTCTGGAGAGAGGGAGGGCCGCAGGTGGTCGTGGGGCCGGGACTCCCTCCTTGGTGTCTCCTGCCGCCAGAGCTCTGGAGGGGGTTGGAACCAGAGCAGGCGGCTCTTCCACGATGGGACTGCAAGTACCAGCTGCGGTCACCCATCCCAGCTCTGGCCTCGTCCTCAGCCTTCCCCTCTGCGTCTGTGTCTCCTCTTCTGTCTCCTAAGAGGACAGCAGTCATTGTACTCAGGGCCCACCCTAACCCAGGACGTTCTCATCTAGAGATTTTGCCTTAATGACATCCACAAAGACCCTTTTTCCAAAAAGTGTCACATTCACAGGTTCCAGATGGACAGATCTTTTGGGTGCCACCATTCAGCCCCCTCTGGGCACCTGCCCCTGCCTTGCCCCAGCACCTTGTCACCCACAGGGCCCAGCACCTGGCCCAGCACACTCGTGTAGTGCTGGGCAGTGTGTGCAGTGACTTCGTCCACGTCCACGGGCACCACACCGAGGCCTGTCCGCGCTGTCCGTGCAGTTCCCACAGCAGGCTCTCACCCCAGCGGGCGACTGAGCGAAGGATTGTCCTTGGGCACCATCACGAGCAGCCCAGCTAGCGGCCGTTCACAGGGGAGGGAGAGTCTGAGGCCTCGCTGCCAGTTTGGGGAAACCGTTCATCACAAAACCTGAGGGGCTCTGAGCAGGAGTCCGCGGCGTGGGGGAGCGCACTCGGCCCCGGCACCTCACCCACACGGCACGTGTCCACACTCAACGTGCCCAGGCCGCCTGACCTGGCCCCTCGCTTCTCAGACTGCCTTAGAGAGGCCGTGCTGCACTCGCTGAGTGCCAGGGTCCTGGGGTCGGGGGTGCCACTGAGCAACAGTCTGACACCACTGATGTCCGTCGGGGATGGGGTGGGTGAAGCAAACACGCAGTGAATCCCACGGGCTGACGATCAAAGGAAAGAGGCTTGGAAAGGTGTCTGGGGCCCGGTTTCTGTTTGTTCACTTTAGAGTGGTTTTAGATTTACAGAAAAATCACCAAGGTCGTGCGTACAGAGTTCCCCTGCAGCCCACACCTCCAGCGTCCCGTCTCCATGACCTCACAGTGGTGTGGCGCACCTGCCACCGTCCACGCTCTGTTCAGATTGCCTCCATTTTTCCTGAATGTCCTTTTTGTGTCCCAGGATCCCACGTGACATTTAGGCATCACGTCTCCTTAGGCCCCTCTAGGCTGAGACACTGTCGCAGACTCGGACATTCCGCGTGTTTGATGACCTTCACGGCGTTTCGAGGGGTAGCGGTCAGGCGTTCTGCAGGATGCACCCCCATCGGGATGTGTCCATGTTTCTCTCTGTCAGACGGGGTGACGGATCTGGGGAAGGAAGACCACAGGCCTCTGAAGTGCCCTTCTGGTCACATCATGTCAAAGGAGCACACTGTCCACGTGCCTGCGCACAGCTAATATTGACCTGGATCCCCCGGGCGAGGTGGTATCTGTCAGGTTCCGCCACTTTGGGAGGAAGTCACGGTGTGCAGCCCACGTGTAAGGGGTGGGCAGTCACATCCGCCTCCCGCTGGGCTGAGTTGAGTCGCTGCCTACATTATTTGGGATTCCTCTGTGTGGGAGATCTGTCTCTTCTCCCCGTTTACTCATGTCCTCAGTCATTTATTTATATCAGTGTGGACTCACAGATGTTTATTTTATACTTACGGTTACAGTCACAACTGCTTTATTTGTTTTGTTGCTCAAACTGTTCTGGCTTTGGCCATTGGGAGCTCTTTCCGTCGGCTCCTGTGACCCTTGTCATGCCCCCTCGGTTTTGGTTTCCATTTTTGAGCACATCCTAACTGCCTGGCACCTCAAGGTGCTCCAAGTTCATCCTCCCTTTCCTGCCCCATCTTGGAAGCAGCTGCTGCTCCCAGCGCCAGGGCACGGGCCCGTTTTCAGTAGGAAAGAGTCGGCCGCAGACAGCTGGGATAGCAGAATCCTGGTTGTGCTTTCTGCAACGTTACTCGCCGCGCTGAGGCCTGTTCTGGGGGCCTCTGTGTCATTCGCACTGTTTTGCAGTAACATGTTAATTTATTGGGTAATTTTAGAGCGTGAGAACCAAGGCCTCACAGAACACCCAGCGCACGCTGGCATCTCGGTAGAACTAGGTCCTTCATCCTTTCTTCCTTCTGGGCCCCTCTGGCCTGGACAGTAGGACCGTCCCCACAGTTTGCTGAGTTTGTGGTGTGTTTCTACAGGGAGGTTCAGCATAGGTTTCCACAGAGGACTCCTATTAGGGCCCCTGACTGTAAGCTTTCCTGCAAAGAGCAGGCAGCTGTGCTGTAGGAAGATTAATTTTCTGAAAGTATTTCAGTGGACAGAGACTCTGAGGTCCAAGGTGACACAGGCCCACTGCACGTTTCGCCTGGTGGTGGTGCTGGCCCTGAGCAGCTCTGGCCTCCACACCCCAGCCATGCCGGCCCTGCAGCACATTTCTACCTCCTGCTGTGTGACCTTGGCTGGCTGCTTAACCTCTCTGAACCCATCTGCTCTGCTGGTACCAGATTTAAAAAAAAAAACAGACTGTTTTTGATGAGCTGACAAGAAAGCCTTTTGTAAATGATTAAGCAATCCACCTGGGAGAGTGGCCTCCGAACTCATCTGAGGGCATCCTTCCCCCTGCAGGAGGCAGGACAGGAGAAGGCTGGTGCACTGGCCTTGGGCATTCTGGTCCTGGTTTTGGGGACTCGTGGAGGAGTCACAGGCCTGAGCCTGCTGGCGGAACGGGGCAGCCGCCGTCTGTGAGGGTCTTGCAGTATCTCACCTGCCCCTCTCGCTCCCCCAGGACCGAGTCTCCCGCTGACCCGAGCAGGCCTGGTATGGGTAATGGTGTGAAGGAAGGCTCGGTGCATTTGCGTGAGGATGCCGAGGCCGTGCTGTCCTCGCCCGTCTCATCAAAGGCAAGTACCCCCTGGCCTCCGGGGATGGGTGTTCTCCCAGGGTCCCTCCTGTCCTAGTTGGCCCCCCACCCCCAGCCTCTGGGCCCCATTGCTCCCTCTCCTGTACTCCCCGAGCCATGTGACGCGCCCACCTCCATCTCAGTCCACCCGACTGAGGGCGGAGCAGCGGCAGGAGCAGCCTCTGTCTGCTCCACAAGGTTGTGGGGTGGAAGACGCCACGTCTCTGCCACTGAGAGCGCCATTTATGACACGAATCCAGCCAGCCCAGCCACCTGGCAAGAAGCCAAAACCACGCCTGACATGGCTTGGAGGCTGGGTTGTCAGAAGGCGTCCTGGATCCCCCTTTCCTCCCTCAGATCGCTGAATACTAAAGAATGAGCCGAACTCAGGGATGGTCCTGGAGGGTGGGTGCACTCAGGGTTTGCTCCACGTGATGAAGTTCATCTCTGACGTCCACACTTCAGCTGAAGAAAAGATATTCCCTCTTAAATCTGGTCAGCCCTGTCGCTGTTCACTGTAGACGCTGGAGCCTTCACTGCCCCCTAAGTCCTCCCAGCTGAGCCTGAAACACCCAGACCAACGCAACCCTGCGTAGGAACCAAACCTCATTCCCAGAGCCCAGCTCAGGTGCCAGCACAAGCAGCTCTCAAAGTCCACTGGGTCAAAGGCTGAGGTGACGTCATCTTTCAGGCCTCCTGACCTTTCCCCAAATTGCAGATGACACCAAGGAGCACCAGGAGGGCGGGAGGACTCGTTTGCCAGGGTCACTATCAGGTGGCTGAGGCAAAGGACAGGCACGAAGTTCAGTGAACTTCCCAACAGAGCAGGAAGAACACCTGGGTCAGGTGTGGTGGCTCACACCTGTAATCCCAGCCTGGGAGGCTGAGGCAGGAGGATTGCTTGAGCCCAGGAGTTCAAGGCTGCAGTGAGCTATGATCGGTTGGACCACTGCATTCCAGCCTGGGTGACAGAGCAAGATGCTGTCTCTGGGGGTGGAAAAAAAGAAAAAGAACACCTGGATATGGCTGTCCCTGGGCACATCAGTGAGAGGGGTGTGCGGGGTGGATCCCACCAGTGGACAAGCTCAAGGCTGTGGTTACTGCAGAACCACCCTGGAAGTGCCCCGGTGCCAGTCATTCGCCAGACACCATACACAAGTGCCCATCTTCCTCTGTGCTGATCAACCATGACGACATCGATCTTGGTCCGCTTGACCAGCCCCATGGTGGGGAGGGTCACACTCTATAAAGTCACTTCTTTGGTTAAGAGGCTGAGCATCTTCTCACGGTGTTTACAGCCAACATGGATCCCACCTGTGGTTCCCCCACTTTTTATGTGTCAGCGCCTGTGCCTGGTTCTTCATGTGCGGGACCTCTCCATTTGACCGATACTTTGAAACTTCGACCCTTTGGTGGTGCCCATGCCGAGCTCTTTGGACAACACGCTTTAGTATTCATCAACGAGGGGCTGGAAGTGTCGGGCAAAGGCGGCGGCCTCTGCTGAGCAGGTCTCCAAGGGAGGCTGGCAGCTGCCTCCAGAGCTGCAGTTTGTGGATGTGTGTTCCTGATACAAAGAGTTGGTATAATTTTGGGAACCACAAACTTTTGTAACCAGCCTGAGCAACATAGTGAGACCCCAACCCTACAAAATGTAAAAAGTTAGCCAGGCATGGTGGCATGCACCTGTAGTCCCAGCTACTTGGGAGGCTGAGGCAGGAGGATCGCTTGAGCCCGGGAGTTGGAGGTTGTGGCGAGCTATGATTGTGCCACTGCACTCCAGCCTGGGCAACAGAGCAAGACCCTGTCTCAAAAAAAAAAAACCAACCTACAAACTGCCTAGGAGGTAACGTGATGGAGGAGATGGAAGGAAAGGCACGTCCACAGCACCAGCAGGGCACGTGGAGGGACGCTCCATGGACTGTTCCATCTGCTCACAGCAGCCCACAAGGGGAGTGGGTGATCCGACTGATTCACAGAGAGGAAACTGAGGCCAGCGGCTGGTCAGCCTCAGAGCTGCTGCTGGGACCACCACTGAGCATCCACCATTTCTCAGAGCCCACAGAACGGGGCATCTGTAACCTTGCTGTGTGACCCACAAAAGGCAGGGGTCCCCAAAGCCAAGCCTCCACGGAGTGAGAAGGTCAAACCCCACAGCCGAGTTCAGACTTGGAGGTGCTGTGAAGTCTGCTCCTCTGGGGCGGAGTGGCTGTGCAGTGAGGACACGAAGCTTGAGCCTTGTGGGATGGAGCCGGGATCAGGCCTCAGGGCAATCCAGGACATGTGGGAGTGAGACCTGGGCCAAGACTTGGCCCTTTGCTGTTTCAGAGATGAGGACAAGGAGACCAAAATAGTCATCCCAGTCCTCGCGGTCAGTCTGGGCAGAGCCCAGGCTCAGGCCAGGTGTGTGGACAGCACCAGGCCCAGCCCTTCACCGCTGAGCCACTGCTGAACTGAGCGAACGTGGGTGGGGATGTAGCCACACTCGGTCAGACCTCGGCTGCCAGGTGTACCCCAGAAATGCCCCTGTGTCCCTCCCTCTCCCCACAGCCTCCCCCACTTCCAGCCTTTGTCTTCTCCATCCTGGGCTTCTGCAGGGGCTGCCTCTGCTCTGGTCACAGTTAAAGTGGCCTTTCCACCTCCCTGCTGCTCCGTGCCGGGCTCTGTGGGGTCTGGCCTCTGCCTGCCTCTCCTCTCCCCTCTCTTCTCTGGGCTCCCTCCGTTTCCCTGTGCCAGTCAGCCTGCCTGCCTTGTGGTCCCCCAGGGACCCCTGTTCCTTCTCACCCGGGGCCTCTATTTGTTCCTCTCCCTCTAATCTTGTGACACCCCCTCCAAGTTTCCTGTTCCTCATCCTTCAACCTCGGCCCCTCAACCCCAACCCCGACTTCTCCCAGAGCCCCAAGCTGCCGCCTCCCAGCACCTTCCAGATCTCCAGATCGGTGGCTGTGTGCATGTGCCTGATGGCTCAGTTCACATCTGGCTTTCCCTGTGGACCGGCAGCACCACGGAGGTGGGAGGGGGCCCCGTACACACCCCCCAGCCTGAACTGTGGGTCTCCAGGCCCCTCAGGGTGCTTGGGCCAAGGGGACCCCATGGAGTCCTATGAATCACTGCACAATCTGCCCCACGTTGCACTCAGACCACAGAGCACTGCAGAGCGAGGAGAGATCCAAGCGCCCCCAATGCAGAACCTCTTTCCTGGGGCACAGTCCCCTGCAGAGTGGGCCCTGCCCTGCCCCGACAACCTGACCGTGCGTTCTGTTGCAGAGCGGCCACCGGCAAGTGCTCAGCTCCCTCCTGTCCGGGGCCCTGGCGGGCGCTCTCGCCAAAACAGCGGTAGCTCCCCTGGACCGCACCAAAATCATCTTCCAAGGTAAATGCTGTCTGTCTGTCTGTGTCCGTGTGAGAGAGAAGCTGCCGGGTGGTCACCGCCTCCTCCATGGCCCCCTCAAGCTGTGCTTCAAATCGATTTTTAAAATGCTTCTGCAAAGTCCACTTAGACACTGCATGAGTTTCCTGGGGCTGCCATCACAAGGCACCACAAACCCGGTGGCTTAGAACAGCAGAATTTATTCCCTCGCGGTCCTGAGGGCCAGAAGTCTGGAATCAAGGTGTCCACAGGTCTGCGCTCCCTCCAGAGGCGCTAAGGGAGGACTCCTCCTTGTCTCTTCCAGCTTCTGGGGGCTCCAAGTGTTCTTGGCTTGTGGCCACATCATTCCAATCTCTGCCTCCATCTTCACACGGCCTTCTCACGGTGTGTCTGAGTGTCTGTTTTCTCTTCCTACAAGGACACCAGTCATTGGAGTTAGAGCCTACTCTAATCTGTACAACATCACCTTAACTGAATGACATCTGCAAAAACCCTGTTTGCAAATAAGGTCACCTTCACAGGGATTAAGGGTTAGGACGGAGACACATCTTTTCAGAGGATACAATTTAACCTACAACAGAAAGCATCTCCCTCCCTCCCTAGGGTTAAACAGGGTCCCCTGAAGATTAAGCCTGTCCCTCCTGCAAATAGATACCAGTTGATGCCCAGGCTGGCAGCAGGACGGTCACAGCCCAGGCCGCTCAGCCTCTCAGCTGTTTGGGGAGAGACTGCAGGCTTGGCCCGGCCCTTCCCAGAGCCTGCAACGGGTCCCCTAGCCTTCCTCAGCCCCATTTCCTCATTCAGAAAATGAGGGCATTGATAATCAGCCTCCTCCCCGGGCTGCGTGAGGATGCAGCGAGCTGACAGGGTTGAAAGGAGCAGGTCTGTGGTTAAGCATGAGCAGCGAGCCAGGGTTTAATCCTGGAGACAGCAGGCACCACGTCACACAGACTGGGGGAGGCTGCCAGGCCACACCAGAGGCTTCTCGTGACTGTTTCTGGATCCCACCATGGCTCAGAGCCCCGGTGGCCACCAGCGGGGGAGCCAGCCAGGCAGCCACAGCGTGGGAGGGCAGTACGGGGTGTGCCCTGGGGGGCTGTTCTCACTCTGTTTCCAGACCAGACCAGACCCTGGTGGGGGTGTCATGCAGACTGGGGGTTCTATCCTTTGCATCTCACCGTCTCTCTTGTGCTTTTGTTTTTCCCAGTGTCTTCAAAAAGATTTTCTGCCAAGGTGAGCTACTAGATCATTGTCCCCTGGCTTGGGGGCAGTCATCCCCACCACGCTCATGAGGCTGGTGGTCCTGGGAGAGACTCGGGGGCAGGGACAGGACTACCCCTCCTCCCACCCCAAGCTCTGCCCGCAGGCTGCCCACCGTGGGAATTCACAGGAGACTCCGAGTATCCTTGGGTGATGGGGTGAGGGCACGGGAGAGCTCTAAACCACGTTCCTGCGTTTGATTTATTGTTAACCAGAGAGCAGGTGTTACCTTCTCAATAAAGAAAAAAATAAAGAGCACGTGTAAAAAGCCAGACTACCAAACACCAACGAATGCCCCTGCAGGGTTCTAAGCTCGCTCGGCAAACCTGGTTCACTTTACAATCCCAGGGTTGGAGGACTGGGGAGGGGTCGATAATGTCGCAGGCTGGACCAACTGAGGTGCGGCACTCACGGGGTGCGTGTGGGGAGGCGGGGGAGTTGGCTGTGCATCCGGCAGGGGTGGGGCACCCCCGCCCAGCCTCTGTTTCAGGGGCGCTCTGCATGCCAACTGGGCTCGCGGGGAGGGCAGCGGCTTCGGAGGGATGCTGACCTCCCTCTTTCTCCCAGGAGGCCTTCCGGGTGCTCTACTACACCTACCTCAACGAGGGCTTCCTCAGCCTGTGGCGCGGGAACTCCGCCACCATGGTGCGCGTGGTGCCCTACGCCGCCATCCAGTTCAGCGCGCACGAGGAGTACAAGCGCGTCCTGGGCGGCTACTACGGCTTCCGCGGAGAGTGAGGCCCGGCCCCGCCCCTCCCTCGTCCCAGGCCACGCCCCTCTCCCCTTCTCGCTCCGCCCCTCTCTCCACCCTCCCCCCTTCCCCCATAAAACACCAGGCAGTTCCTAAGACCCTCCCAAGCACGCCCCTCCGCTCCGTGACATCACCCTGCTCTGTCGTCAGAGCTCCTCTCGGTTTACCCATTTGTTTCGTTACGCCCCGCACAAGTGTTGCCGGGGCAGGCCACTGTGCCCTCAGAGCCGCAGGGAAAATACACACATCATTCATTCATCCAGAGGGAAAGGGAAGGCACCCCTGCGAATCTCCACGTGACTCCCAATCAGGAGACCCCAGCGCACCTGGTGTTCCGTCGCCGTAGCCACCCCCAGCTGGGACCTGTGGGGGCTCCGGCTGGGCCTGTGCGCATCTCAGCCCCTCACTGGGTCTCATTTCCCCCCACCCGCTTCAGAGCCCTGCCCCCGTGGCCTCGCCTTCTCGCCGGCGCACTAGCGGGGACGACCGCCGCTTCACTGACCTACCCCCTGGACCTGGTCAGGGCGAGGATGGCGGTGACCCCAAAGGAAATGTGAGTCCTACCTTGGTGACGCTCTCACCAGTCACAGGGGCTCCCAGGTCAGAATCCCTCCATCAGGCCCCCCGGGGTTTGGGTCTGTCCCGCTGTGCTAAGAATCCAACAGGCTGGCCTGGCGCCTGTAATCCTAACACTCTGGGAGGCCAAGATGGGAGGATCGCTTGAGGTCAGGAGTTCGAGACCAACCTCAGCAAGAGTGAGCACATCTCTACTAAGAATAGAAAAATTAGCTGGGCGTTCTGGTGTTTGCCTATAATCCCAGCTACTCGGGAGGCCGAGGCAGGAAGATCGCTTAAGCCCAGGAGTTTGAGGTTGCTATGAGCTAGGCTGACCCCATGGCACTCTAACCCGGGCGACAGGGCGAGACTCTTGTCTCAAAAAAAGAATCCACCATGCTGAGCAGGCCTGGTGTCCAATTCTGCAGCTGTTCCAGAAAGGCAGTATTAACGTTCTCTTACCCTGTGGTTGGTTTCTGCTTGGATCAAACCAAGAGTCTTCGTTTTGAATTGGACGCAGATGCATTAGAATGTATAGGAGTAAAGACAAGGGCTGAGCCCACTAAAGCGATCCCCATGGTGAAGGTGGAGTTTGGGCTTGGGCCTGCCTTTGCCCGGTTCCACGGCTTCGCAGCATGGCTGGATCTCTCAAAGAAGGGAAGCACCATCATGTAGACGGGCCCAGGCCCAACGGGCTGCGGCAAGAGCCGAGAGGCCCGCATCCCACCTGCTCCCGCTGTTTGGCAGGTACAGCAACATATTTCACGTCTTCATCCGCATCTCGCGGGAGGAGGGGCTGAAGACCCTCTACCACGGATTCACGCCTACGGTGCTGGGGGTCATTCCCTACGCCGGCCTGAGCTTCTTCACCTACGAGACGCTGAAGAGCCTGCACAGAGGTAAGGGGCGTGGGAGCTCGGGCAAGGGGCGGCGCCTCCGCCTGTGTCACGCACACCTGGAGGCAGGACGCGGAAGGGCAGGGAATAACGTAACAGCACTCACACCTGCCGCCCGTGGAACGGGTGTGAGCACGCTGCCGTCTTGCTCCCGGGTGTTTTTTGTTAAGAACTAAAAAGTGGGTAAAGTTGAGGCCCGGACTCTCCCTCCCGAGGTCTCTTATTAGAAGTGTGGGCTGCATCCCCCCCCGATGGCTTTGGAAGTGTGAACAGCACCTTGTCACATTCCGCGGCATAAAGAGGGCCCCAGATGGAGTCAGCTCGCCTGGGCGTGCAGCCCCTCCAGATGGTTCGCGGCCGTCCGCCTGACCCCCGTTTCTCTGCTCCACGCTGTTCGTGGCCGTACAGTGTGCCTCCCCCTCTTGCGGGTGTTAGGCAGTTTCCAGATTCTCTGTGATCAGCCCACATCCGGGACTCATCTCCTTGCGTGGGTGTGAGACCCCATTTTCAGGGTTTCTCCCCACAAAGGGCCTCCCAGCACCCTGTCCCACGGTGCCGGCAGACCGCGTGTTTGCCCATCTGGTGCAATGGATGGCGGTGTCTCCGTCTCCCTGTTTTGAATTCCTAGTTCTAAATTCACTGCTACAGAGGTTTAAAGAACCCCGATCGACCGGTTGCGGCTCCTTCCTCCGTCATGTCTGCACGTCCTGTGTAGACCCACGCAACAGTGCTCTGTGTGGTTCACGGTCACATGTGTCCGTTCTTGGAACCACTCGCAGGGCCCTCCAGAGGGGCCGGTGGGCGACAGGGCAGGGCGAGGATTCGGGAGGGACCCAATTGGATGTGAGCAGTGGCTCTCGGGGTTGGTTGTGTGATTCTCTGTGCTTTTCTGTCTTTTAAGAAATCTGACGTCTCGATTTTGATTAAAAAGGAGTGACTGGGAGGTGAGGACGTGGGGCGCGGGGGTACGAGCGCCCGCGCTCGTGGGCTGCTCACGTGGGCGCGGGTGCTCGCCCCTCCCGGCGCGCTCACGCCCCTCCCGGCCCCGCCCGCAGAGTACAGCGGCCGCCGGCAGCCCTACCCCTTCGAGCGCATGATCTTCGGCGCCTGCGCCGGCCTCATCGGGCAGTCGGCCTCGTACCCGCTGGACGTGGTGCGGCGGCGCATGCAGACGGCCGGCGTCACCGGCCACCCGCGCGCCTCCATCGCGTGCACGCTGCGCACCATTGTGCGGGAGGAGGGCGCGGTGCGCGGCCTCTACAAGGGCCTGAGCATGAACTGGCTCAAGGGCCCCATCGCCGTGGGCATCAGCTTCACCACCTTCGACCTCATGCAGATCCTGCTGCGGCACCTGCAGAGTTAGGGGCCCTGCGGTCGGCGGCTCTCGCGACGGTGGACCGGCGACCCCTTTGGATTTCTGAGCCCGTGGAGTACGGTGTGCTTGGTTCCACCGCGGGAACCACGTCGGGGGCTTTGTGGAACAAGCAGGCGGGCCTGGGGGCCGGGGCTGGCAGCCCTTGAGGTGCGATGTTGGCACGATGGGCTCAGGGTCGCTGCGACTCTCCTCTTCCCTCCTCCCCAGGGGCTGCGGTGCCTCGGGAGGTGTTGCCCAAAGGCCTTGAGTTGGAGTGGTCAGCTCCGCCTCCTCGTCCTGTGTGTCCTCCAACGTGCTGCTGATTCGAGTGTCCCTGTCCCCACTAGGCTCTGGGCCACACTTGCCTGTCCCTTCTCGTTCTGACTCTGCCTGCGTGCCTGGCCTCCAGCCTGGGCGGGCGCCTTTCCTGGCAGCCGGACCCTGTCCAGGATGGGACAAGCCTCATGCTCAGTTTGGCCACAAACGCAGAGCTCCTTGCCCACCCAACCCACCCCGCCTGTCCTGCCTTCTCTCTTATTTCCCAGAGGACAATGACTCCTCCACCCCCAGAGCCTCCTGCTCAGAAACGGCCTTCTCCTGAGAGCCCCATCCTAGTCTCTGCCGTCAGCCTGGGGCCCCCAGCTGCCTACCCGGTCATAACCTTCCCAGGAGGGTCACGATTCCTCCACGAGACAGGGTTTGAAGCACAGACCGTGACGTGGAACCACTTCAGGTTTGGGTATGACCCCCCACCTGGGTATATCTGCTGAAATCGGAGCACCCAGCCATGAAGCTCCTGCCGGGTCCGTGGCTCCCCCACCTCGGTGGGCACTTGGCTGAGGCACGGAGCAATTCAAGGCCCACGAGGGATGTCTGATTTCCATGAATGAATGGAGCACACAGAGGTGGCTGGTGGCATTGACCTTCCCAGAGTGGGAGCCCATGACAGTGGGCGGCCCAGGGTGGGGAGTGTGGAAGAGCAGAGGTACCCCAGGGAACCCCCAGCTAGCTGGGCTCTCAGAGAAGTCCCCAGGACTTCCAGGTATTGGGGACTCAGAAATACCCAATAATGATGTTCTGGGTTTCTTGGTTTTTTGTTTTGTTCTTCAAATTGGCCAACCCTGGGTTTATTCACATCAAACCCCTGATTGGTCCGATCTGGTTCCCTGGCGAGGGGGACCTTGAGGGTTGGTTTCCATAGCTGGCTCAGCTGCCACCCTGCGAGGGGATCTGAGCCGGTACACCTGCCCCGTGTGCGTTTCCTGCCCCTCCTCTCCTCCTCCTGCTCTTCTTGCCTTGGACCTGCGGGTGCGAGGACCTCTATCTGGCCTTAGCCACCAGCCATCCCTGACCTCATCCCCAGGGGCCCAGGCAGCCTGTGATGGCTGTGAGGGGCCGTCCTGTTGGGTGGGCATCCTTGCCCAGTACTAAGACTCAGTGGGAGAGGCCAGGGCACCCCTCACAGGGAGATGGGGGACCGAGCCCCCCCACCCTGGGCAGGTGAGGGCAGCAGGGGCTGGGGGTCCACCCCAGGCGGGTGAGACCAAACGGGTGGCTGGGGAGTGCCCTCCTCTGGGCTCCAGGCTAGGTAGGAGAGACGAGGGTGGCAGGGGCCCCAGCGTGCTTCCCCTGAGGCGGCTCCTGGCCGTGCGGCTGTGGCAGTGCCGTCCCCCAGCCCTGCACACGGCCTGGCTCTCAGGCTGCCACGGTCACCCGCCTCCCTGCTGATCTCTGGTCCCGGTCTGGAGTTATATTTTGATGCCATGAAGACACTTTGTTTATATATAATGTTTATATATTTTAAAGATTTGTGCCAAGAGAGTATATTTAATAAAAATTGAAATGACTTCTGCTTGTGTCTCGTCTTCTTTGGCTCTGAGCACCTCCTATCCTCCCCCAGGAGCTCCAGAAGAGAGTTGACATTGTTTTGATATATTTGTGAATAAAGTTTTGAATAAAAGTCTTGAATAAAGTTTTTTAATTCAATTGTTGCTGTTTGAGTTGTTAATGCATATCATGATTTTCCAAAAAAATCATGATAAAAATTATGATAAAAAATAGGTCAGCCTCCCAGTTCCCTCTTGTAGGTGTGTCTCCTCCTGGAGAGATTCTGGCATACACACTTGTCCCTTTGGGGACCTATGTGGCTACCCACAGTGTCAGTCAGGATGGGCTCCTCCGGCTGCAGCTAGCACAGCCCCAAAGTCCCCTGGGATTGAACAACGCTTTCTCTCCCCAGATCCCTGCACTCTGGGACTAGCTAAGGCATCAGGCCAGAGCAGTCACCTCCTGCAGGCCACCAGAGAGGGTCTTGCAGCAGCAATCAAGCCTCGCCTTGCCGGCAGCCCATTGGCCAGGGCGACCTGCAGGGCCCGCCCACCACGAGGCTGGACGTGGCAGCTGTGTGCGCATGCGTATGCACACGTGGTTAGAGCGAGCAGGTTCCACCGAGCTGACCCCCACTGCTCTACACCACGCTTGTGAGTCGGCCCCGGTGGCTGTCTCATTGCCAGCGGTCGCAGTGTTCCCCCAGGACGATGCCCACTGATGAAATTTACCCATCCATTGTGAATAGGCAACTAGATTGTTAGTGAGCTGTTGCCACGACATGGTCGTCACTCAGTGGCGACCGCTGAGCTCGCCCCCAACCCCCACCACATCCACCCCTGATTTCTGGTTCACGTTCCACGTCTCATTCCAGCTTCTATGCCTTGGTCAACTCCTCCCCACTCCCACCCTGCACTGTGGTGTCCCTTAATAGTATAGAGATGGGCTCATGGCCCTGTCTGGGCCAGCGACAGTGGGGAAGATGCTTGCTGGTTGCTTCTGAGAAAACTTCTGGAGGCACGCTCTCTCTCTCCGATGGCCTTGGGGGAAGAAACCCTAGCCCGGGTGGGTGTTGGGACCACCAACACAAGGAAGGGACTAACCCCAGGGTGAGGCTGACATTGCAGATAGTAGAGCAGAGATGAAGAGAGGAGCAGGATTCTTGGTGACGTCTGGGCTGCCGGATCTAGCTTTACCTGAGGCTCAACTGCCTCTCAACTTCCAGCAACATGAGTCACTTTCTCTGCTTTATTTAAGACAGAGTTGAGTCTTCTGTCACTTTCTGAAGCAAATATCGTTTTATGTGTCTCTTTGTGTTCATGTGCTAGTGTATCTATGGTATAAGTTACTAGGAACAAAATTGCTGGGTCAAAGATCAAGGAATAGCAGGGCGCGGTGGCTCACACCTGTAATCCTAACACTTTGGGAGGCCGAGGTGGGAGGATCCCTTGAGGCCAGGAGTTTGAGAACGGTCTGGGCAATATTGAGAGACCTCCCTATCTAAAAAAAATACCCATCTACAAAAAATTTTTAAATTAGCCAGGCATGGTGGCACGTGCCTATAGTCCCAGCTACTCAGGAGGCTGAGGCAAGAGGATCACTTGAACCCAGGGGTTCAAGGCTGCAGTGAGCTATGATTGTACCATGCCTGGCTAATTTTTAAAAAACTTTTTGTAGAGAAATGGTCTTACTATGTTGCCCAGGACTGGTGTAGAACTCCTAGCCTCAAGCAATCCTCCCACCTTGGCATCCCAAATGCTGGGACTATGGGTGTGAGCCACTGTGCTGGTCGGGTTTTGGTTTTGAAGATGGAACCTACAGGCTTCTCAATGAGCTGGATATGAGGAGTCAGACAGGGAGGGGTTAAGGTACCCCCAAGTTATGGTGTGACAAGACAGACGGGGCTGATGTGACCAAGGAGGGCTGAGGAAAGGTTAGGTGCTCTAGACACAATGGGTTGAGCCATCTGAGATGCCCAGGGCTGCAGAAACCAAACTGGGCTTTGTTGGCAAACATGTGGTGCCTAATTAGTGAGGACAGTGAGAAAGAGAGGGGACCAGCAGGAATGGCCAGGGAGGGGACAGCTGAAGGGAGAAGAGGCCTGAAGACTGGCTTGGATTGGAGAAGGGCGAAGTCCCAGGGACTTTGACGACACTCGCTCTGGAGGTGCAGTGAGCGCACCTTAGATCGAGTTTTCAGTTTGTGCCAGTTTTTCCTTGTAATGGTGTTGCTGACTTCTCTTGAGCTGAAGGTTGTATTTGCTTTGGTTTTTCTTTCCTCCTTGTTTTTTTTTTTTTTTCTTAACTCTTTTGTTTGTTTCTTTCAGCTGGTTTGGAAACCGCACATTCTGTTTTTTCTACCACAGGGTTCTCAGCCGCAGCACTGCTGACATCTGGGGCTGGATCACTGTCTGGGGCTGGGCTGTCCCGGGCACTGTAGGATGTTGAACAGCATCCCTGGCCTCTGCCCACCAGATGCCAGGAGCATTGCCCCCCTGCCCCCAGTGGTGACAATTCAAAAATAATCTCCAGACATGGCCAGTATCCCTTTGGAGCAGAATCACCCCCTCCTTTGAGAGGCACTGATGTGGTATAGTTTTTATTTAGTTTTTTGAGACAGGGTCTCACTATGTTGCCCAGGCTGGCCTTGAACTCCTGGCTTCAAGCAGTACCCCTGCCTTGGCCTCCCAAGTCGCTGGGACTAAAGGCATGTGCCACTGCGCCTGTCTCTGCTTTTTGTTTTGGGGGTTTTTTTTGAGACAGGGTCTTGCTCTGATACACAGGCTGGAGTACAATGGTGTCATCACAGCTCACTGCAGCCTCGAACTCCTGGGCTCAAGGGATCCTCCTGCCTTGGCCTCCTGAGTAGCTGGGACTATAGGCAAGCACCACCACACCCAGCTAACTTTTAAATTTTTTGTAGAGATGGGGTCTCACTATGGTGCCCAGGCTGGCCTGAAACTCCTGGCCTCAAGTGATCCTCCCACCTCCGCCTCCCTAAGTGCTGGGATTACAGGCATGAGCCACCACTCCCGGCCTACTTTTCATTTTTATCCACATGATGGAAGTGCAGTTTCAAAAGTCAAATGCTGTTCAAAGGAAGGCGAGGACAATGACATTTCCAACTCCTCCTGACAACTGTTCTAGGCGTCACCGTGTGTCAGTGCTTCTGCAGCTCTCTGGTTGTGACCTAACTTTCCTAAGAGGCATGATGCTCCCTTTTGGTAGTGGCTGTTAGTTTTAGACACATGCCAAGTCAGCAGGACAAAAGGGGAGCGGCTTTACCCTGAGGTGGCGCAGAGTTGACACGGGTCAGGGAGTTCAGAGGCTGTGAATGAACAAGTGGTCCCGGCAGGGAGGTGGGTCATGCTTGTCACATGACGGGGTAGCAACAGCCTCACTTGAGGGCCAGTCACTCGGCCTTGTGCTGTCACTCTGGCAAGGGAAATGGCTGTGACTCATTTGTTTTAGTCTCAATACAGATGCTCCCTGGCTTACCATGGGGTTAAGTCTCGATAAACCCATCTAAAGTCAAAAATATTGGCTGGCTGCCATGGCTCACGCCTGTAATCCTAGCATTCTGGGAGGCCAAGGCCAGAGGATCACTTGAGGTCAGGAGTTCGAAACCAGCCTGAGCAAGAGCGAGACCCCATCTCTACTAAAAATAGAAAAAATTAGCTGGGTGTGGTGGGGCATGCCTGTAGTCCCAGCTATTCGGGAGGCTGAGGCAGGAGGATTGCTTGAGCCCAGGAGTTTGAGGCTGCAGTGAGCTATGATGATGCCACTGCACTCTACCCAGGGCCATGGAGCCAGACTCTGTCTCGGCTGGGCGCGGTGGCTCACGCCTGTAATCGTAGCACTCTGGGAGGCCAAGGTGGGAGGATCGTTTGAGGTCCGGAGTTCGTTGGAGACCAGCCTGAGCAAGAGCGAGATCCCGTCTCTACTAAAAACAAAAATAAATTAGCTGGACAACTAAAGATAGAAAAAATTAGCCAGGCATGGTGGCGCGTGCCTGTAGTCCAGCTACTTGGGAGGCTGAGGCAGGAGGATCGCTTGAGCCCAGGAGTTTGAGGTTGCTGTGAGCTAGGATGACGCCACGGCACTCACTCTAGCCCGGGCAAAAGAATGAGACTCTGTCTCAAAAAAAAAAAAAATTATGTGTTAAATGATTAAGGAAATAAAAGCTGGAGTCATGGAATGGGTGACATTGAGACTACCTTCAGATGACTGGATAGACTTGCAAAGGAACTAAATTAAGCTCTTCTAAAGAGAAAATATAATTATTGAAATAATAGGTTGTTAAACAGCATATTAGAAACAGCCAAAGGAGGAATTGATGAAATGGAAGATTGATCTGAGGAAATCACTCAGATTCCAACTCAGAAAAACAAGAAGGTAGGAAATATCAAGGGAGGCTAAGAGATAAGGAGAGTAGAGTAGAAAGCCTAGCATAAGTTAAATCAGAGCCCCAGAGTGAGAAAAGAGAGGGAGCAAAGGGTCATGCTGGCCAAGCCTGGGAAAGATAAGGAGAGGATGGAGTAGAGTGGATTCCCAGGGTCTCCAAGCCCATTCTGCCCACCTCCCAGGCATCCTTTTGGATGTTATTGGAAAAGAGAGGAGTTATTGGAAAAGAATGGCTAAGTCTACAGAATGAATGAAGCATACAAACTATCAACCAGATAAATAAAAGGAATCCATACCTAGACACATTGTAGTGAAACTGTGGAACGCCACAAACAAAGAGATCACAAAGCAGCCAGGGAATTAAGACAGATCACCTACAAAGGAATGACAATTAGGCTAACAGCCAATGTCAACTGCAACAACAGAAAAGGAACAAATAGCAACGAAGTAAGATGGTTGAAACAAGGCCAAAAACGTCAGTAATCACAATAAATGTAAGCAGACTAAACTTTTAAGTCCCATGATAAAGACTATCAGACTACATTGAAAATATCCAGGTACATGGTTTTTAAAGGATAACACATTCCAACCCAAGGTCACTGAAAGGTTGAAAGTAAAGGGATGTTAAAAAGACATAGCAAATTCTAATCAAAAGAAAGCTAGAAAGGCTATATTAATACCAGACAAACTAGATTAAGAAGTATTATTAGAGACAGAAGGAGTCAATACATCATGATAAAATAGCTGACTCACCAGGAAAATCTGGCAATTTTAAATTTATGAACATATTATAAATTAGCCTCAAAATATATAAAGAAAACACTGATAGAACTACATAGAGAAATTGAGAGCTCTACTATTTCATAGGGAGACTAACCTCTACTAACTGATGTGTCAAGGAGAAAAGATTAGGAAAGACAGAGATTTGAATTTGTTAGACTCATAGATCCACAGAATATGTCTTTCAAGAACACATGGAATAGTTACAAAAACTGATCACATTCCAGGCCATAAGGCAATCTTACCAAATTTTAAAGAATCTATTTCAAAGAGACCATCTTTTGTAACTATAGTGCAATTAA